GCAGACAGGATCCAAGAAATCAGTTCAGAAACATCCTCTATCCCAAAGCATGGTCGTATTGCTTTCCTCAAACGCGTTCTTTTCTCTTTTTAAAATAAGACCTTTTTGCCTGCCTGGTGTGACTCAGCGGTGGAGCATTGACCTACGATCTAGGAGATAAGATTTGGATTCCTGGTCAGGGCGCATGTCCAGGTTGTGGACTCGAACCCAGTTGTGAGGCATGCTGGAATCAGCTAATAAATGACTCTCTCATCATTGGTGTTTCTATCTCTCTCCCTCTCCCTTCCTCTTTGAAATCAATACAAATGTAAAAATAAATAAATAAATAAATAAATAAATAAATAAATAAAAGACCTTTCTCATCCATGAAGTTGGAGAATTCAGAAAGGTAGAAGAATGGGCTGAGTATGACCTATGTCTGAAAAAAATAGCAACAGTTACATTTAGAAAAATGTGAAAGGAAAAACAATTTCATAATGGTATTAAGTTAATTAAATTTAGCCTGAAATATATTAGGCCTAAAATAAATTAAAACAAAACAATGCCCCCTTACTTTTTTTTTTTTCTTTTTCAGCTCTTTCACTTGGACATCTTAAAAGTATGGCTAACTAAATTTTTCTTATGAAAGTATTTGGAGGTTACCATCATTTAAAAAAAAAATTTTTTTTAAGGGAAACAGAAGCATTGAGAAACTAGATCATAAGGCTCCTAATTCTTTAGCTGAGGCCCAACAGCTTATCAGTAGCCAAGAGCCTGCTTGGAAATTTGGTGTCAGATTCCAATTCTAGCACTAAAATTTCTCATTAGCAACATGAGGGAAGAGAACAGTACTTATATAGTTGTTAACAAAGATTAAAAGAGAAATTATGTAAAGTATTTGATACTTAGGAAGCATTCACTAAATAGTAGCCAAGCATTCACTAAATAGTAACCAGAACGATTGGTCACTATGACACACACTGAACACGCACTGACGATTAAAAGAGAAACTATGTAAAGTGCTTGACACTTAGGAAGTATTCACTAAATAATAGCCATTGTTATTATCACAATTTTAAGACCATTATTGATATAGTTCATAGGAATAAACTTTTTACTAAATGAATTACCTTCTGGGACCTGCACATCATAGAGAAAATATCAAGACTAACTATCTCCTTGGGGACTCAGACCACATTGGGGTAGGTAAGTCAGAATTCTAAACTTTCTTGTACTGTCTTCATATAACTTTTTAAATTTTCCTGTATAATTACTAGGCTTTCTGAAAAGTCATTAACTTTTTTCTTTTCCCCATTAAATATCGTAATAATTAACACTTTAAAGTTGCAAGAGGACAGTCACATAGATTTTCTCATTTGATATTCAAAACCTTGGGAGGTAGATATTGCGATAAGTTTATACCCTATTAAATATGAGGAATTGACTATGGGAGTTGCCCAAGGTGACCCAGGTAGTAAGAGATGGTATTGAGATCCTTAGGGGGTTCATAAAGAGAGCCCACACACCTCTCTGCAGTACTGGTTCCTCCCAGGGGCTCTTGGCCACCCAAAGGAATCATTTCTATGGATGGAATTTCAGACCTGATGACCTCGTGAAAGAAATTTAGGGGACTGGGTGGGCTTTGCCAGCATCCCCACAAAGAACACTACTATAGTGAACTCATCTATACTGACTATTCCTAAAGCCAGCCCTGTCTGCACATCCCCTATTAGCTGCATTTCCCTTGCTCAGGGATCCTTGTCTTTAGTTCCAGGGGTATCAGAAGAATTACAGAAATCTTTATTCCCCACTTTTCTCTAGTGAGCATTTTGTAGAGTTATCTCCCCAAATTAGGAGAGTAACAGATGGAAGGTGGGCAGGTCCTTTTCCCGGTATCCTGACCTTTTGGTGGGAGACAGACAGTTTGGTGAAACTGCGGTGGGAAATCTGTTGCTAGAAGTTCTTTGGGAATAAACCATCAGGTGGTACCTAGAACCTATTTAATCGTTAAAAAAATAAATGCCAGATTTTGTATACTTAGTCTTCTGTTTGAGTTAACTTATAACCATTGATGGTTTAACTAGATTATCTATACATATAAAAGGCTAAGCAACCAGCTGACCAGCCGACAGCTATGATGCACACTGACCACCAGGGGGCAGATGCTCAACACAGGAGCTGCCTAGTGACAGCAACTTTGCAGTGTCCTCTTGCAATCCAGGACTCTTTGGGAAATGTTGGAGAGCCAGATTTGACCCAATCCCTGCAGGCCAGGCAGAGGGACCCCACCTGCCCAAGGGACCTCGCTCACTCCACAGATGCCCTTTGAGCCCCAGCACTGCCCCAGGTGTGGCCTGCAGGGGGGAAACCATGGGAGGCTGGCTCCAGGGCATGTCCGGCCTGTCTCACCCAGTCCCGCCCCGCTGGCCACCTTCTAATTAAATTTCAATGTGCACAAATCTGTGCACTAGGCTTCTAGTTTTTTTCATAAAAATATTTTTTAACTAGATTAATTACTGAAGAAGTTACAAAGTTTTCCCCAATCTGATGTCTGAACCAACTGAAATAATTAGTCCCTATCTTCTACTTATTTTCAGGCTTGCTCCCAGAGGGATTTGTTCTGTTGACATGACTCTTAATTATAATACATTTCTTTACAATCCATTTACATTCAACCTCATTACAAAATGAATGCACTGGCTTTAAGAAAAATGAGTCCTGCCCAAGTTTTGGTCATATTTACGGTCCCGCTACTAATTATCAGCAAAAGCATAAAAAGGACAGAGTTAGGGCTTTTATATTCTACTACTTCCCTCAGAAGAACTCCTCTGGAGCTGTCTTATTCAAGAGATCTAGATTGAAGCTAGGTTCCTCTGGGCTTGCTTTATTTCTTTGTCTCTGATCTTCAGTGAAAAACTGAACAAGATCCTCAGTTTGGATATGCATTTTGGAGGTAACTCTAGGAAAGAAAAACGATTTGGAAAACCAGATAGTCCAAGCTTGAAACCTAGTTCTATTTACACACAGGCATGTGCCATGTTTCCACTCTGCGCCTCAGTTTACTTGCAGTAAAATATTGGATAATGATGTCTTCCTTGTGGAATTATTAGAGAATTGCAATTAGATAATGTTTGAAAGCACTCGAACTGTGGTAAGCACTCAATAAATTCTATTTAGTAAGAAATTCTAGTCATGGCATCCCTACCAATGTCAGATCTCTAGGGTTTATATTAATAAAAAAAAGTGCACTAACTGAAAACATTTTCACTGCAAAACAAGTGGTTTTCTTTTAGCATTTGTAGACGAAACAGGAATCAACATGCATGATTTACTGCACTGGTAGGAACACGATTATCAACAGTGTCACTGATGTATTGAAACAATCCAGTAAAAATAAAACAATTACTGCATAGTTTTCATTAGATTCTTAAAAGATTTCAAAAATAAAGTGTAAAACCAAGAAAAAGAACATGGAAGTGAAAACTGGTTTGTGACCATGGCAACAACTAAAGGGACATTAAGTACAAAGATCATGTTTATTCCCAAAGAACTTCTAGCAACAGATTTCCCACCGCAGTTTCACCAAACTGTCTGTCTCCCACCAAAAGGTCAGGGTACCGGGAAAAGGACCTGCCCATCTTCCATCTGTTACTCTCCTAATTTGGGGAGATAACTCTACAAAATGCTCACTAGAGAAAAGTGGGGAATAAAGATTTCTGTAATTCTCCTGATACTCCTGGAACTAAAGACAAGGATCCCTGAGCAAGGGAAATGCAGCTCACAGGGGATGTGCGGACAGGGCTGGCTTTAGGAATAGTCAGTGTAGATGAGTTCACTATAGTAGTGTTCTTTGTGGGGTGCTGGCAAAGCCCACCCAGTCCCCTAAATTTCTTTCACGAGGTCATCAGGTCTGAAATTCCATCCATAGAAATGATTCCTTTGGGTGGCCAAGAGCCCCTGGGAGGGAACCAGTACTGCAGAGAGGTGTGTGGGCTCTCTTTATGAACCCCCTAAGTTAGGTGATAATGGTTCAAGGTGACAGCTTTCTCAAGGGCACTAGTTCCTTCACAGGAGAACAAGATTGAGCCACTCACAGTTTCTGCTTTCAAGGCTAGGAAGGCCTTGATAGGATGGGAATGAGGGTAGGGAACTTAGAATTAATTCCTTGAGGGACAAAAGCCCCTAGAGCGAGGTCACTGGGGCAAAGTAAAGTGGAGGGGGCAGGAAGGGGCCGAAAGTGAAGCTGGGGAGAGAGAGATGGGGAGAATGCTAAAGGGAGACTTCCTCCTTTCCTTCCTCAAATATGGCCCACTATGTTCGGGGTGAGGGTGGGGGGCTGGGGGTGAAACCTCCCAGGTCGGTTTCGCTTCTTACAAGAAAGTGGCCAAGGTTTGGGGCGGTGTGTGTGTGTGTGTGTGTGTGTGTGTGTGTGTGTGTGTTGAGGGGGGGGCGGCGGAGCAGGAGTTCTCTCCAGTTCTGGAGGAGGGGGCTCACTGGGGTGGGCGAAGGCTGGGTGGGAGGTGGCCTCGGTTGGGAGGGGCGGGAGGAAAGGGGAGACGGGAGGCAGGGAAGACGCGGGGTCCGGGCGTGGAATGCAGGCTGAGCCCGCCTCCAGCTCTTGCCGGCCCCGAGCCACTGAGCCACCGGACCATTTCCCTGTCCGCGTGCGTAGCCGGAGATAACGAACCGAAAGCTCTGGCGCCGGGCCTGGCATCTGGCAACGGCCGGATAACGCGAGTCTGGCGGCGATGGCTTTGCGCCCTGGAAACGCGCCCTGCTATCGGCGCGCCCACAGGGCGCGGGGCACGCGTCGTTCACTCTGCACCCTGACAGCCCTAACCCTGACCCCCAGCCCGCGAAGTCGGGTTCATTGTGCCCGGCGTACGAGTGAAGAAACCGCGGAGACAGGCCTGGGACCTGCGGTCTGGGGCTGGTCCCGGGGGCAAGCGGTGGTGGGGCGGGAGGTGGGGGGGGGGCGCGACGTGCGACCCCAGGGGCCTCGCCAGGGGCGCGGGGCTCACCCTTGGTGCTGTCAGGGACCCGCCGGGCTCGGGTGTCCTCTTCGTGCCGCTTCTCAGACATGATGTCTGAGCGAAGTCACTGCTGTAGCGTCGCGATCGCCGGAGACGTAGTCGGAGCCTCCAGGAATGCCCAGGGCACACCCCGAGCACCGGACTCCAGGCGAAGCCACGCCCCTCCCGCAGCCAGGCCAATCAGCGCCACGATCCGAGGAGGACACGCCCCCAGCTCCGCCCAACCGCTCTTCCCGCGCAGACGGTGGCCGGGCGCTACCCGCTGGCCCCGGAGCCGAGGGGCTTGGCCGGCCGGCGGGGTTCGGCGTCCCCCAGGTCGGTGGTCCGGCCGAGGGGCATCCCCGGAAAGGCGGAAGGGGTAGGGGAGGGGGAACTATCACAAAGCTTGCGGCCCGGGTCTGAGAAGATATTGGGGAGGGGGCTGAAGGGATGGCCTGAGGAAAAGGTGCGAATAAGAAAGAGGTGGCCCTCGGGGCCCACGAAGGAGGGAAGAAAATGGCGCCTTCCCTGGACGGGTGGATCCGGGTGGAGGAGGGGCAGCCGGGTGGGCAAAGTGAGGGCGCTGAGGCCGCCACGCGTCTGCAAGACCAACGAGGTGAGGGAAAGGGACCCACGCGACCAGCCACGAGGCCTGGAAGGGAACGCGGGTGAAATGCGTTTGTTCCTTGGTGAGCCCTGCCGGCATGCTCCTTGTTGGGTACCGTCCCCAGGGAGTGTATAGTCTGTGGACAGGCAGGTTAATCTGCTTAACAAACTAATCAAACCATTACCCGTGGCGGAGAAGGCGGTGAAGGGAACAAGATACCCAGGGAACAGCAGGCGGCACCTTCTTTAGTTCGGGGGCGAAGGGGCCTTTGGAAGGAGGTGGCATGGGGACCTGGTCTGACAGGTGAGAAGGCGCAGGTGCACGTTCTTCCCACCCTCAGGCTACCGGTTGGGTTGTGGCTGAAACCTCACGTTTGGAAGCCACAGTTTGTGCTTTAGTCTCCACGAGTTGTCCTAATGCAGATGGTCCAAAATTACCATGTCGATGTACATGGCAAGGTGCACGTTTAAAAACATTTTCTTTTGAAAATGTTGCAAAGGGAGGACGGAGGGGTTATGTGTATCCTCTACCTGGTTTCCCCCAATAGTTACATCAAATAGTGTACATCACATGTGTCAAACACAAGGCCCTCGGGCCAAATCCGGCCCGCCAGGCCTTGCAATGTGGCCCGCACCGCGCTGTCATCACTGCCCTCCGCTGCGTTTCCATCACAATGACAGTTTATGACTGTTCAGTAAACCATTCGGCCCGCGATTTAGGCTGGATTTTAGATTTTGGCCCCTTCTCTGATTGAGTTCGACACCCCTAGTGTACATGGAAGCCAGGAAATTGACAGTGGCGGAATCGCTATGTGTAGCTCTACACCATTTTATCACATGCATCGACTTGTATGATTACCACGGCAGTCAAGATACACAGCTGTTCCACCGCCTCAGAGATCTCCCTTGTGAAGAGCTTTCTCCCTCCCTCCCTCCCTCCCTCCCTCCCTCCCTTCCTTCCTTCCTTCCTTCCTTCCTTCCTTCCTTCCTTCCTTCCTTCCTTCCTTCCTTCCTTCCTTCTTTCCTTCCTTCCATCCTGTATTCGGCTGTATGATACCTAACACTTGGTGGTGTTTGAGTAATATAAAATGGTAGACTCTCTGGTTTTAGCTCTGGAGCCTTGTGGCTTGTCTGTGGGAAGCTGGAGTACACACAATTGTGACAGGTGTTGAGAGCAACTGATCATCATTGCTCTGGGGTGCAGACTTGACTATGTGATAAAAGCCTAATGCAGAGCTCCCCATGTGACTTCCAGTCCCTTAAGGACAAAATAACTTTATATTCATGAGGGTGGAGTACAGCTTGTATTGTCACTTGGATTATAAGTCTGCTGGATAAGATAAAGAGGAGCTTGTAGTAATTTAATTGCCTTTCTTTTCTAAATCATCCTTGAGAAAGTCTACAGCTTCATTGTTTTTTTCCTACTTACCATGGAAAAGCCCCAGAGGCATGAACTTCCTGTTTATGCTGTGGTTCCAAGAAAGAGGAGCAAATGTAGTAGAGGAGAGCTTGGTTGCAAATTGTATATGGTGGGGGGGGAAAAAAGTGTTTAACTTTTATTTTTGCTGGAAAGGAAAACATTTCCAAATGAATTTCATGTTTGTATTCCTACCTGCTACCTTGGCTCAGGTCTCTAAACAAGCTCTAAGCAAGCATCACTTCTGGAGAATTAGAAAAGAGGCATCTCCCTTTTCTAAAGGGGCAAAGACTTTGGTAAACACCTGTTGGCCCTAGGTTTAGATTGCATCAATTTGGGAGCTGATTCCAGGCTCAACACTGCAAACAAGTTTTGACTTGATTTTTAAATTATTTTCAGAATGGATGAGAATTTCCAGATTTTTATTTCAAAATGCTGAATTCCACTTCCCCATGAAACTGGTGGATTCTGGCTTTCTCATGTATATTCTCTATAAATGTATTTATTAAACATACTTTAAAAAATAAATGTTAGCATATCATCCTCTCTCTTGGAGGGAATTTCTAACCTTAAAATTTCTTCTTGTAATGATTAGAAGTTAGAATGAATTTCAAAAACTTTATGCTTTAGAAACAGAGACATATAAAATTACAAATAATTTGAAGACAGAATTACTTATAACTTCTAACAGACCTATTATAATTATGGTGATCTTTTTTAGCTGTTATTTAAAGGCTGTTCACATATAAGTTAAAATCAGAGTACTTTATATATTCCATATTTCTTTTGTGTTTTATTTTGATGTCATTACCCTAGCATATTCAGGGTATCAAATTAAGTATTGATTGATGGTGACAGTGATGACATTAAGACATGGAAATCAATTTGAAAACAGACATGCATCATGAATCCGTAATTGAATAAGTCAGAAGGAAATTTAATTAGTTTTTTTTTCTGTGTCCACACAAGAAATGCTTTAATAAGAACAACAGGAAACTCCTTATTTATTTTTTCCTTTAAATTGTAAGTCTAGGCTGTTCTTAATACCTTAGTGAAATCAGCTAACCAGATACTTTTGAGGGGAAAGCAATACCAGCAAGTTACATCTGTTTGTGGTATTTTCCCCAGGATGGAACTAATAAGTTTAGTCTGTTTCTCTGTGTAGACTAATTTACATTTATTGTATTACAGCAGCTTTTTTGTCTTCTTAGTTCTTCTCATAAGGAAGTTACTCCAGAAGTTGAGTCATAACAAGAGTTTCACCAGAGATTTGGGCTGTGGCAGCAGATGAATTACACCACAGCACTTGGTCAGAACACTGGGAGTCCAGGTTTTCAGGAGTTATGAAAACAAAAAAGCATTACTGAAACATTGGCGGTATTTAATAGAGTTATCTATGGGAAGAATTTTATTAATTTGCTTTAATTATTAATTGGCTCAGCAAATATTTATTGAACACCTGCTATATGCCAAGCATTGTTCTGGGTGCTTGAGATACAGAAATGAACAAAAAAGACAAAAATTTCTGCCCTCATGGAACTTACATTTTAGTGTTCCCTTTCACATGCCTTAGTTTGCTAGGGCTTACATATCAAAGTACCACAGACTGGATGGCTTAAACAATAAAAATTTATTTTTCTTACAGTTCTGGAGGTGAGAAGCCCAAGATCAAGGTTCAGCAGAGTTGGTTTCATCTAAGGGGCCTGAAGAAGGATCTATTCCCGGCCTCTCTTGTTGACTTGTAAGTGGCCATCTTCTTCCTGTATCTCTTTATGTGTCCAAATGTCCTCTTATAAGGACACCAGTCATATTTGATTAGGGACCACTCTAATGATCTCATTTAAACTTAAATACCTCTTATAAGACCCTATCTCCAAATACAGTCACATTCTGAGGTACTGGGGTTTAGGACTTTAACAAACGGATTATGAGGGGTTTACAATTCAGCTCATATGACTTACGTGTATCCAAATCTTTGTCCTGCTTATTTTCTCCTATTTGCATCTTTGAGATATGCAAATAACTTTATGCTTCCATGACAAATGTAAACAGGTGACCTAAAATTATGTGTAATTATTGTTTTAGACATTTATTCATAATACATACTAAAAGAAAGTTCTTGATTAGGGAAGATTACTCTCCTTGGAATGTTGTTTAATCTATTGTCTACCATATTCTACTATTTTTGTCAAAATTATACAAATGAATAAAGGGGAAGTATGTTGGAGGAGAGATCCTCTATTCAACAGGTTATTATTCTCAGGGCACTAAAAATATATTTTCCAACATTGTATATGGAAGGATAGAGAAGCTTAGATTGAAAAAGAAATTTCAAAGGTATTAGTTGACTAGTTGAGGGAACCAAGAGATCTGGGTATTTCATGACAAGTAAGGAACTTGACCTCTTGTAGAAGTTGGCATTACATGGATGGCTGAAGGGCCAGTTTTCTGATCCACTGTAGCCCTCTGTATATTTGCTCTCCTTCTCTTTCCCTCTCATCTTTCACTTTTTTTTACATAAAATTTTTTGCTTAATTCTCACCGGAATATTTTTTCCCATTGATTTTTAGAGAGAGTGGAAGGGAGAGAGGGAGAGAGAGAGACAGAAACATTCATGTGGGAGAGACATCAATTGGTTGCCTCATACATGGTCCTGACTGGGGGCCAAGTATGGAACCTGCAACCCAGGTGCATGCCCTTGACTGGGAATCAAACCCAAGACCCAAGTGCATGGGTTAATGCTTTATCCACTGAGCCACACTGGCCAGGGGTCATGTTTTTATTTTTATTTTTTTATTTATTTGTTTGTTTGTTTATTTTTAATATATTTTATTGATCTTTTACAGAGAGGAAGAGAGAGGGATAGAGAGTTAGAAACATCGATGAGAGAGAATCATCGATCGGCTGCCTCTTGTACACCTCCTACTGGGGATGTTCCCGCAACCACAGTACATGCCCTTGACTGGAATCAAACCTGGGACCTTTCAGTCTGCAGGCCAATGCTCTATCCACTGAGCCAAACCAGTTTCGGCTGGGGGTCACTTTTTAAAAAAAATTTTTAGAGCAGTTTTCGGTTTACAATAAAATTGAGAGGAACGTACAAAGGTTTCCCATGTACTCCCCACATATGTATAGACTCCTCCATAAGGATCATTCCCTACCATTAGTAGATTATTACTATGGACAAACCTACACTGACACATTGTAATCACCCAAAGAATTCACTCTTGGTGTAGTACATTATGTGGGTTTGGACAAATACATAATAACATGTATCTATCATAATATCATATAAAGTATTTTCACTGCTCTAAAAATTATCTGTGCCCCACACATTCATCTCTGCCCTAACCCTGACTACAATTGATCTTTTTATTATCTTCATAGTTTTACCTTTTCCGGAATGTAGTTGAAATAATAGTGTATTCTTTTCTCATCTTTTGTTTTTCCTACAATTTTATGTGTGTATTGATATTGATTTCCATTTAGTGACTGGGTTGCAATTTTTTCTTTATATGCATTATTATAATTTTTATTACTTTTTGAATAGGTAATGCATTTCTGTGGCTCAAAATCAAAACAACAAAGAGCCAAAATTGAGAATTCTCTATCCTGTCTCTGTCTACCTTATTGTCCTTTGTCCTTCCCTTATTAGTAACCACTTTGATCGTTTTTTGTGTGTCTTTTGGGTGTGTTCTTTCTTCTCCTTCCTACATGAAATATCACATGCTATTTATACTGTTCTATGATCTGTTTGTTTTTTTTCAGTGAATAATATATATTAGAGCATCGAGAATTTCCTTGTTCTTTTTTACAACTCTCTATAGAGACTGACTTGGATTTGTTTTTCATTTTTGGCTTTGAATAACCTGTACAACCCCCATTCTGTAGGTGTGTAGGTATATTTATATAAACAGTTCCAGAAGTGGGAGAGTTGATGAATATTGAACTAATATTACAATGCACATAGAGAGGGATTAGCTGTCATCTGTTTTGACAATCGGGGACAACCAGGAAAATAGCAACCACTTCTAGAGTTTGCAACAGAGAAAATGTAATTCAGGGAAGTGGATATCAGGTGATAGAAGAACTGAGTGCTTACTGACAAAGTAAAGCAACCCAGATATTAGTAACAGCAGAAGAGCCACTGCTTGTAACCTGGAAATACAAAGATAAGAAGGCTGTGTGACTGAATCCCAAAGAGGGCGTCATCTGTTGGTGGCTGGGATCTTTAGTGGGAGCGAGGTCCCTAAGGAGTTAGTCATTTCCAAAGAATTCCCTAGAACACACACACACACAGAGAAATCCTGGTTTATTCCTTCACTTCCTGGTCCTCCAACCTTTCAGAAATCACTATCAGCCAATGAATGGAGGTTAATTACCTCTATTAACCGGCTAATAGTGAGCAGGTTAATAGAGATAATTCTATGGAGACAATAAAAAGATCGGTTAATATAGTACAGAGCAGAGCAATGAAAGGGCAAATGATGGATTTGAGGAGATTTGGGCTCAGAATCTATGTAGCCCACTGCTTTTGCTATTCAACATTTAACTATACCCTTCTACCCATGCTTACCTAATACCTTTATACTTCTGCCTGTTATACAAATAAAGACACTCTCCTTCTCCCAAGCCAAGACAGACTCCAAGTCCTATTAGTCATTGTATCCTTCTCAAGTTCAGGATTTACTGGTGATACTCATTCCTCTTCAGCGTTCCAGATGTGACTTTGTGGCCTGGTGACTTATGAACTAAAATTGTAGATTAAGTTCCACTAATTAGCACTCCATACAAAACTATAGGAGAAGGGGAAGGGAAAAGCTCAGAAATCATCGGTTAACATGTATATAATAAAAAGGTGCATTCGGTCTATAGTCTTTGTTGCTGTAAAAGTCACAAGGTCAGAGTCGATTTTCATCACTTCCCCTTTACCATTTATTCTATATTTCTTTGTTTTTGGCTAGTACTGCAGGAAGTTGGCAGGCTGTCTGGGTCAGGATACATTCAGAACAACAACAACAACAAAACCCACATTTGGTCTTTTCAACAGAGAGAATTTAATATAAAGAATTGGTTACACCAGTTTTGGAGAACTGAAAAAGCAAAAAAGGGGATATTAAGCTAACCCAGAGACAAGAACTATGGGATGAAGCTACCCCTCCTAGCTTAGGGGAGACAGAAAGGAGCTTGAAGGGGAGGCTCTCAGGCCTCTGAGGAGGGGGCTACTGCTGAACTGTTGCTGATATCTTTGATTAGGTGTGATGTGGCTGATTCTAGGAATGCTCCTCCTTCCCTCAAAAGCTGAACATTATCGTTGATAACTAATAGTCAGGAAAGAAATGTCTCTTTTCTCTCTCATCTGCCTTGCAGAACTGAACAGGAAGTCAACTGGCAAAGTAGAAATATAGTTCTCATAGTCTGCTCTAGCATCACAAAATAGAATATAAAAGTATGGGTTTGGACGAAAAGACAAATGGTTTAATAACTGAAACAGCTCATCACTTTGCCTACTCAGTATTCATGCACAACTTTGTACATCTATTTCAACTTCCCATATGGCTATAACAAATTTCAGCTTTTCTTTAACAAGATGAAATTATACTTTGTAGAAATAGGCACTCTCACCTCCCCTGCCCCTCAAAATAAAAAGGTCCCAACTCTGGCTGGTGTGGCTTGATTGGTGGGAGTTTTGTCCTGTACACCGAGGGTTTGATTCAGGGCACATACCCAGGTTGCAGGTTCAATCCCCAATTGGGGCATGTGCATGCAGGGTTTCATTCTCCACCCTCTCTCCCTTCCTTCCCCTCCTCCCTCTCTCCCTCTCCCTTCTTTTCTTTTCTCCTTCCTCTCTTTTTCCCCTCTTAAAAAAAAAAAATCAATGAAAAGCACATCATTGGGTGAGGATTGAAAAAAAATAAAAAAAAAGAAAAGTTCCCAATTGTCATTACATTAATCTCTAGATGGTGTTAGTTACTCTTCAATTTTGGTTAGAGTCCCTCTTGAATATTCAGTAACCTAAAGATGAAATTGTGAAGTTAATCACTTCCATTAATTTGTAAAATTATAATGGGAAAGAAGAAAAAAACATTAATATATATATATAAAAATATACCACAGACAACACCATGGCTCTGGAAACTTGAATGCTCTAGTGCAGTGGTTGGCAAACTCATTAGTCAACAGAGCCAAATATCAACAGTACAACGATGGAAATTTCTTTTGAGAGCCAAATTTTTTAAACTTAAACTTTTTCTAACGCCACTTCCTCAAAATAAACTCTCCCAGGCTGTGGTATTTTGTGGAAGAGCCACACTCAAGGGACCAAAGAGCCGCATGTGGCTCGAGAGCTGCAGTCTGATGACCCCTGCTCTAGTGTATTGGTGACTTCAGTTGAAGATAGGTTGGGAGTTATAAGGATGGGGAGGAAGAATTTGGTAATGTACTGGCACACTACAGAGCTGAAATACTTGGCAGGCAGAATAACGTTTTTGCAGATGGATATAAATTAGTGAAGTCTGAGTTGTTCAGCAAACATAACATCAATAGGCTGGGGAGGGGGCCGCAACATTTCAGACTTTTTTTGAAGCCATTCCAGTGAGGTGGACAGGATAAATTGATTTAGTTTACTTTCTTTGTAATATTGCGCCATCTAGTGTTAATTCCCATGTTCTCTTTTGTTCCAGTTAGATTATTAAAAAAAACAACACACAGATGAATTAAGAATCTGAGGACAGTTTCCAA